GGCTTTCCTGAAGCCCTTTGCGTACGCTTTAACTCTACTATCAAGGATGGCTCCGGACAGTTAACCTATCAACATCTTACAAAAGCGTAGGTCAGCATAGTAGTAAGGAGCAGGAAAGGGGGCGGAAGGGGTGAGCCTGGCAGGGGCGGGGCGGGGCGGATATGGGTCCGTGTTTGTCATGAAATGCGCGTATCCGCGGGGTTCCCGTTCACAGCATGGACTAAATAGGTCTTCCATAGGCCTCTAGTGATTATCGAGGTGTAAAGTTAGAATAATTGCTATATTCATATGGCAGCTTCCCTTTGGAGGAACTCTCCTATCTAAGACGAAGCCTGATCAGTGCGTTGGGTTGGGAAATGCTAGGTCTTGATTACTGATATCCCCGAAAAAAAACATTGTGTCCAGTGATACTTTGTAGGAATATTGATGCCCCTGCACGTTCTTATTGGGAACCACGGATATACTTAGTTAGAGTACGGCCCGACCATGGCCCACTACAAAAGGTGTGCTTGCATGCCTTCGGATGTACCCGTGGCCGCGGGAGAGGATCTCAGGCACCGCCTCCACGAAGAAAAGCTTAAAAGCCAAGAGTCGACACGGAGTAAAGTAGCATATGACTCGCTCTGCGTGCTCGAAGGGTAGAGATCGGAGGGATTACAAAGCTGACTGTGAAGATTAGATTAAGGTGTTCAGGGGTAAGGTAGTTATCACAACAGAGAATTGACGAGCGGACGGAGTGCGGCAAGTGCCACAGATTGCAACATCTTGAACCCACTTCGAGAACGCAATCTCCGCCACGGTGGCGGAGTACGTTCTTATTTTCAATGGTATGCCCGGACGTTAGCCGCGGTCAGTTTGACATCTTATGGTTATTGCGGCATGTTGACCAACTACCAGGTCACCTACCTACCTATACTAGAACTGCATGAGGGTCCCAATGTGTAAAGTAGACAAGGTTGCTCTAGTAGCAGTCCACACTTCCTCAATTAACATGACGAACCAGATGTTGATTTCGCCAGGAACATTGGGCCCACGACCTTGTGCTTGCCATATCGATTTAAAACTGAGCCGCACTAGTCTATACTCAGCATCGGACTACGCGTCCTAGACTTGAATCAGGACAGCGACTCGTGTAATGTAGCATTCTAAGTGATGGAATAATATCTCCAGAAGGCCTTATCTCTGTCCCCTAGTGGAATGCAGCTAGAAGTGCGGGTAAGGAGATGTGCCTCGGTGGGGGTAATGGGTGCTCTACCTTATGCAGCACGGGGGTCTCGGTCGGCCTTAACCGACTTGGCGTATTGCGCCATGCTCAGGTATGCAACCACAGCAAGTCGAATGGAGGTTGACTGCTGGGCAGCTTATTCTTGGCCAGAAATGACCCAGGTAGACGGAATGCCTTGATGAAGTCTGTACACTAGGATGTGATCTTGATAAATAGATGTTGATCTGTCCCAAGACGTAGATATTCTTTTTCCAGGCAAGCTCACAGTCTTTACTACGATTACCACTAAGCTTCACTCATTCTTTTACCACAAGTCATTCTTTACAGTCACTCTTTTTATCTCTTTAAAGTTAGAAGATATTCGCCCACCAGCAAAAATGCCCTCCCTATTGTCCACAGCCATCACCATTTTGGCTGCGTCTCAGGGGGTTCTAGCAGCCTGCACTAACCCTTCCGTCCGCAAATCTTGGTTGGTACCACCCTCTTCGCCTTAGAAAACGAGGCTATGAAGAGGAAGTTCGCTGACACGAAATCAACAGGTCCGCTCTGACTGACGATGAGAAGACTTCGTACATTAGCGCGACCCTCTGCTTGATGGACCCTGCCCAGGCTCCTGCCAAGACCGGGTATGCTGGCTCCACGACTCGCTGGGAAGAACTCCAGGCTGCCCACGTCTCTCAGGCTCAGTTTGTTCACTCTGTTGTAAGTGTTCAGAACCATTAAGCGTCGAGTAAATAGGCGGGTACACGATCATAGACGAAGGCTAATGCAGAGGTTGTTGTTTAGGGCGCCTTCTTCCCCTGGCACCGTTGGTACATGACAGTCCAGGAGAAGCTCCTCCGCGATGAGTGCGGCTACACTGGCCCCATGCCGTAAGTGACTCGTGACAAACCAGTTCCTCCCTTTTGCATTAAAGGCTCTTCTCTGGGCTTGACATAGATGCATCATGACCATACGTAGGCGATATTGTTACTAACGAGTGGGCCACATGCAGATACTGGGACGAACAGGCTGAGCAAGCCGTCCTCCCCTTGGAGAATGCGAGCATCCTCAACGCCAGCGCCACGGCCGGCTTCGGCTCCGCTTCTCTCGACGCGAACGGCTGCGTCATTGATGGACCCTACACCAATGTTAGACTGACTCTCGACACCGAGCTCAACCGTGTCGCCCCTGTGTGCCTGAGCCGTGACTTCAAGCAGAAGGAGTACGACCAGGTCGCTCAGAAGATCATCGATGCATGCATGGCTCTTGAGGACTACGTGAATCTGAACAACTGCCTGGGTGCCTCCCCTCACACTGGTGGCCACTACGCCATCGGCGGTACTGTAAGCGACTGTTCCATTCTCACAACGCGCACCTTTTATTTCATGAGACTAATCATATCCCTCAGATGGACGACCCCTCTCTCTCACCCGGCGATCCGCTCTTTTTCCTTCACCACACCAATCTGGACCGTCTCTGGTGGCAGTGGCAGGCCCAGAACGAGTCCCGTCTGACTGATATTGGCGGTAACAACGTCGCTCAGGGTTTCTTCTGGTCCAGCGTGCAACCCTCCTCCCTCGGTGTCAACGCATTCCTGCCCTACTTCAACGACAATGGCAATGAGACCACACTCGACCACGTCATGTGGATGGCTGGTATCGCCGAGAACATCACCATTGCTGAGGTTATGGACATCAAGAGCGATGCCATCTGCATCGAGTACCAGTGAGATTGCATGCAGTGTGCTCAGTATCTAGAGCGACTCGAACTAGCTTGTCATTTGGACTTGATAATTTAACTAGCTAGTACCTAAAGAAGTGGCGACGCGAAGATGGCTATAAGTTCCTAGTTGGGTTGAGCGATGGCAAAATGTAAGATATAGCGGATGGATATCATATAGACTGCTTTACTTCAACGAAAAATTTCTCAAACTCAATACCCCGTTCCAAAATATTGCTACTGAGACTTTGATGTTTTGGTCGATTAATCTTGTACAAAGTGCGCCTGAGTTCGACTCGTGAGACGAAAGAATCTAAGAACGATCGTGATGATGGGTTTTCGATGGCCACCCATACTTTACCATGGATGTTATACATGTCGTAAACGCCGTGCATGTTGATAATGATATCAGAAGACGATTGAAGTAATTAATACAAGATTCCGATGTTTCCCAGCCTACCTAGTGTAATTATGCGATTGTCTGTGCTACCTTACATGATTAAGAGAACCTGAATGGAGACCACCAGAAAATGAGGACCAGACTGACATTTCTTCAAGTCTTGTTCACATGAACGATAATCTTCCCCGTTGTACGTCCTTCCCTAAGCTTCGCATATGCTTTTGGTGCGTCACGCCACTCAAACTTTTCATCAATCAACACTCGCACCTTGCCGTCCACTATCAGCTTGCCAATCACTTCCAGATCCTCCTGGCTCGGCTTTACCCTCACGGACTGGAACTTCCTCTTTCCACCACCGAGAAATCCTGGCAACAGGCTTCTCCGCAACATGCCCACCATAGACTTCGACATACCAACCTGGGCAAATACTCCCTCGGACTTGAGGAAATGTGAGCAGCTATCGTACAGGCCCTCTGGACTGCCAACATTGTCCACAGCGATATCGAAGATACACCCCTTCCTTTTGAGTTCGGCAACAACGTTGAGCTTGCGGTAGTCGATAACTTCGTCCGCCCCGAGACGCTTACAAAGATCAACCTTTGCAGTCGAACACGATGCGACCACATAGGCCCCGGTGGCTTTTGCAAATTGGATGGTGAAGGAACCAACGCCCCCGCTTCCACCGTTGATAAAGACTTTGGAACCTGGCTTCAACAGCTCTTTCGGAAGCGACTGAAATGCCGTCAGCCCAGCAGTGCCTATAGCAGCTGCGTCGTCGGGGTCGACGCCCATAGGGAGGGGCGCAATGTTGGAGGAGGGAGCGACGAGGAGCTGGCCTAGACTACCAAATTGCGGGAGCTTGGTTCCGATGCTCAAGGCCCCAAAAACAACTTGACCCTCGGAGAATCCATCGGCACCGTTTTTGGACCGGATTCGGCCACAAAAGTCTGAGCCCGGAGTCGTGTTGGGCTGAATCATGAATTTGCCAAAAACGGGGATCTCGGGCAGCTTATATTCAACGGGGTTGATGCCCGCTGAGATGACTTCGATGAGGACATGGTCTTTGGGGAGGGATGATGCCTCTGGTGGCGTTGCGTTTTCGTTGAGAGTAAGGGAGTTTTCCAGAGTCTCCTTAATGGAGCTGTATTGCCAAGCTTGCATCTTTCCTCGTTAAATCGATGGGAAGCGTGCAATAGAATTTATGTGTTGTAATTTGATTCCAAGTCGGATGATGAGGTAGGAAACGTGAAGAAGTAGTATTTTGTCTCGCCAGCAAATTCGAGGTCATCAATCAATCGAGTGACAGACAGTAATCCATATATCATCTCAACTGATCTCGATACGGATAGATAGTGTCAGAATCAAAGTCCGCACTTAGTCCGTCGGATTGCAGGGGTTATTTAAGGTTATCTCGGGTTCGGATTGACCCCTGGTTGGAAAGCTTGTCCGCAGGGGCCTCGCACCCTTTGCTGCTTGAACCACTAGATGGAATTTAGCAGTAGACATCTTTTAGTTCCCATGGACAACCGGCGGATTTTGAGAAAAGAGGAAAGCGATTGATAGCTAGCTAAGATACTACTACTTTTCCCCGGGTTAGTCTCTAGGGGCATTGTCTGTTTACTAGCTCCGAAGGGAGCCAGAACGAGCAAAGCGGTTACTCCGACTTAATTCCCCTTACCAGCTAAGTGTGCTGGGGTGGAGAACCTCCATATTGTCAACGATGCCAAAGTCGCGAATGCCACCACCAGGCGTATAGACGCTCCCGTTGTACGCGACAGCCGCCATGCCGTGACGAGGTGTGTTCATCGGCTGAAGCTTCTCCCAGGAGTTGGCGCGTGCGTCATAAACCTCCGTCTCGTTAAACACAAACCCAGCCTCCGGGTCCAGGTTTCCTTCTCCTCCGAATGTGTAAATTCGTTGCCCGACGATAGCCACCGAGACACCGCCTCGAGGAGTGGGCATGCGCGCTCGCTCGCTCCATTTGAGCGTCTTGAGATCGAGGACGTAGACTGTGTCGCGGACTGCCGTCTGGCTACGGAATCGGCCGCCGACAACGTAAAAGTTATTTCCGATAACGCCGCCGCCGGCGTGCTCACGGCCTTCAGGTAGACTAGGCAATGACTCCCATTCCTTTGTGACGAAGTTGTAAGACGAAACAGTATCAACAGTCTCCTGGAGCCCATCTTCTCCAAGCTCTAGCAGACTGATGCCACCGGCAACAATAATCCTATCGCCAGTGACACCAAGGATGGAGCTGCCCCTCTCCGTGCCATTGGGCATGGGCGGGAGCTCAGTCCACACATTCGTCGCAGGATCATACTCGTAGCAATTGGGCAGTGCGTGGAAAGCCGCGCCGCCAGACAGCCCGCCGAGGATGTAGACCTTGCCATTGGCCGCAGCGGCATTGGCGTGGTTCATGGGGATCGGAAGCGGCGCGGCGAAGGACCATTCGTCTTTGGGGACGTTGTACACCTCCACAGAGTCGATTGTGGAAACACCCGTTGGCTGGCTTGCGTCGGGTTCGATGCCTGCGACAACGTAGATGTTGTCACCGACAGCAACAGCAGCGTGCTCCTGGCGGGGGCCTCCGACCAAGGGCTTGAGTACTTCCCACGTCTCGGTGGTTGATAAGGTGCACTTAGAAGGCGCAGGGGCGGCTGCTGACTGTCCGCTAAGGAGAGGCAGCAGAGCGATGCAGGAGGCAAGGTTTTTTCCCAACATGATGAAGTATATGAAAAGTTTCGACCCGAATGGTCAGAATGTGATGTTGTAGAGTGTATTCGTCTTATGTGATGACGGGATTGAAGAATGACCGGGAGAACTCTTCTACTAAATACACATTCTTTGCCCCTTTTTCTGGATATCGACACCTAGTATTTCAACTATTCCTCTCGTTACACTGTCAATACGATCGCCAAGGTCCACCGTCAGAAGTGAATAGATGTTCTCAACAGCACAGCCTCGTAGAGCTACAGCAGAGATGGCATCACGGATAGTGACAAGACTGAACCCCACGCATGACTGTCCAGAATCACCCTGTTCTCGGCAACTTCGAACTTTCCGTGTGGCTGAAATGAAGGTCCTGCATACATGCAAAGACGCATTCCAATGGTAGCGTCTTCATGTGAGCAGCGTGGTGTTTCGGGTTCGGGTTGACATTGGTCCTTGGCAAGATACAAATTCGTAAGTCTCCATGAATCGATACTCACGCCAGCTGACGCATCATAATTTCTACATTTCTTGGCCCCTTCTGTCTAATGCTCTCCAATCTGGACATTTGTAATCATACCATGTGTTGATTTAGGCAGCCAGCGGAGTACGAAGAACAAGGCCAATAGAATCTTTATTCGACTAAATACACGCCGCCAACAAGGCTATGGTAGGAGATATATTGCAATTTGAGGTATCTGAATCGAAACATGTACAGGGGTTGCCCGGTTGACCGTCTCATCCATCACTTGTCATTGCGAGATGTTCATTCTGACTAGCTAGTCCTGGTTTGACATAGCTTACGGGCCACTGTATCTCATCGTGCCAGTTTGGCGGAAGAGATCTCAAAATTGCGGCAATGAGATGGCACCCCCATTCTCTCATGAACCAAAATTGAGATCCCGCAGCATGGATAACGGTACAATAATGAGCAAGAACGACTAAAGACGCAGGTTCTTGAACGACAAGCAAGGCCATGAAGTTGTCACGCAGGATCATGGGCCAAGACACAGCGACGTTCAACTCGGGAGTCATAGACGATGCCCGCTCGATGCTATTCCGGAAACCCAAGACTGCTTCGCCAATAATGCTCTTGACCTCGGAATTCACGTCGTGCTGATCCAGCCCACCAGCCTGGATACGTGAAATATTATCTTGCAGCAGTGTTAGCAACTCGTTGCCGCCTAGATATGGATTGCATTTCATGAAGTCCTTCAATATGCCATGCCGCACATTTTCCCTAGCCGAGGCCAAGACACTGCTGACACCGCGGATGAGAGTGAAGACCTCTAGGATGTCGTCTACTTCTAGCTGACGCAGGGGGCTGTGTAGCGTCGGACCCGAGGCGGCGAAGGCGCCAATGAAGAGCAATGACGAGGCAGCGAAGAGAGCGTCGCAGTTCGCAGGAGTGACGTGCGAAATCTCATCCTGAACCCCACGAATTGCATGGTGTTGGTGCTGCAGCGCCGAAGATAGTTTCTCCTGACGCTGTTGTTGCTGCGTATGAGCTTGCGCGGAGGGAGACCCGAGTGGTCCCGAGCATGCTAGGTGAAAGGCGGCGACTGCGAGGATTTGATGCATGAGGTAGGGCGAGCCCGCAGCCACGGCTGGAACCTTGTCGCGCCAGGTGTGGAGGTTAGCCCCGGGCAAGGTGGCGGAGGTCACGGAGGTGAAGTGGTTCATCAAGCCGAGATCCGTCATCCAGGGGTAGGTATCTTCGGTCGCGGATCCGAGGGGAAAGTCTGCTCCTACGGAGGGCGGCGGCGTTATCGATGGGGCTCCTGGTGGAGTGCTCTTGGACGAGATGGTCGACGCGTCGTCTCTATGACCATCTAGTGCAGATATGTGGAGTTGAGGACCATTCTGGATGGAAGTTGGCGTTAGGCTACAATCTATCTGTAGTCTAACGCAAGCGCCACATGGCCGATTCTCATCGCACTGAAGCGAAGTCAGCCTTGGATCTGCTATTTGGTAGGAAAGATGGAAGGAAAAGTATGGGTCTTCTGGTACGAGACAAGACAACAACCCGACGCACCTTGACCTTTCTCTGTTTACAGTTAGAACAACCGTTGCGGGACTTCTTGTGTCCAATCCGTGGCATATTGGGATAGAGGCGCGATACACGACCAATTTCGGTGTCTGTTTTCGAATCTCAGCTCGATTCCGCAGAGAAGGTAGTTGGACTGGGGCGCCCGAACCCGAAGCCGACCGACCGCTCGTACATATTTATCTGTCCTTAGTGTGCCCATATTGTGTTGCGGAGATTTGATTTCTAAGAGCCGCGGACTTTCTAAGCTTAGACAGTGGCTGAATCAACACCCGCGACAGAAGCTTGTCAGTGCTAAACTTACACGTATTCGACGCAAGGACCACCTGTTACTTAAACATCAGCCAAGACTTAAGCCAAGAGATTGACAACTTCAATACACGAGATAATCTCGACAGCGCAGCAAGCATAGCCTCAATTATGGTTATGATGGATCTGCATGAAGAATTATCTATTTCAAATTCTTATCGAGGAATTGTAAAAGCGTGATTAGGAAATGCCAATGTCTTCGCCATATTTAAGTGACCGTAAGATGGGACAACATGCCGAGACTCCTTCACTTGTTCAGGAAAATACCTATCATTGCGACAACTTCAATTTCTCGTCGAAGACAGCATAGAACAGTGCTGATTTCCCTGAAGAAAGACTTTGATTATTCATCGCCCCAATCATCTAGAATCATGGACTCGCCAACAGATAACAGCCCAGGAGAATTCGTCTTCTACCACTATGACCCTTCTCTCCCAGCAGCATGCATCTTCATTGCCCTCTTTGGCATATCATCCGCGTTGCATCTTTTTCAGATGATCAAGCTTCGAGCCTGGTACTTTGTTCCATTCTTGATTGGCTGCTGCTGTAAGTGATAATCATCGATGCTAGTTCATGCCTCAATGGGTGCATCTTGCTCATCACCTCGCACTTGCTAACGTTTCGATGACACAGTTGAAATTGTGGGCTATGTAGGCCGGGCACTATCCGCAACAGAAACTCCGAACTGGTCGACGACCTCCTACACGATCCAGAGCCTGACGCTTCTTCTTGGGCCCGCGCTCCTTGCTGCGTCCATCTACATGGTCCTGGGCCGTCTCATTCGCTTCCTTGAGGCCGAGCACCTGGCTTTGATCAGAACAAAGTGGTTGACCAAACTGTTCGTTTTGGGCGATGTGATTTCTTTCGTGACGCAGGGCGCAGGTCTGTTTCCTCTTTTGCGGCTTTTCACCACTGAGGTACTTCTGAGCCGTGGATGGTTGGGCTAACACATACTTCCAACAGGCGGTGCAATCCTATCGCGAGCAAAATCTCTGTCAGACGTGAACCTCGGCGAAAACATCATCATCGCCGGCCTCGCGGTCCAAATTCTCTTCTTCGGAGGCTTTATCATCGTCACCTGTCTCTTCCACTATCGCATCAATCAGAATCCCACTGATCCCTGCAACTCTGCCTCCCTGCGCTGGAGACCGTTCCTCTGGATTCTGTATAGCGCAAGTCTTCTGATCATGATTCGGTCGGTTTTCAGGGTTGCCGAGTACGTCACCGGTAGCAATGGAGCGCTGATGGCAAGCGAGGTGTACATTTACATCTTCGATGCGGCGCTGATGTTCCTTGTTGCTGCCGTGTTCAATGTGTTCCATCCCGGTACCATCATCCAGACAGAGAACAAGTTAACGGCCATCTCGGAGAGCAGCGTGCCTCTCGATTTGTAGACTTTCACTTAGGTGATTTAGACGCTTGTTTACTGGCGCTCAATTTGGGACAACGGTGGAGATCCTTATGCTGAACGCTCTTGAAAGTGGGGGATATTCGTGGATATCGATAGGTTCAGCAAGTACCTACACTAAAGATCAATTTCTGTAATTAATGTTCCATGTAGGATTGGAAGTTCATACATACGTGTCATTCCCATCTACATTGGCACTTGCTTTACAGTCTTGGGCTGTTTTCTAGTAATACAAGTGTTCTCTCACAACTCGAAGGTAACTCACATGATCGACAAGTCAACGCAGGCCGCTTTGCTGTCAAGTGTGGCTGTGGCACAGCAACAACCTTTCGGGGTGGCTTGTCCCAAAGGATCGTTATCAATTGTTCCGCGGCCTTCCAACATATTCATCAGTGTCAACTGTCAACTCTAGCAAGGTCGTTCAAGATCGAAATTTCTTATCCCAGATCCACGAGAATCGTAACCCTCTGACCAGTAAGCAATACAGCGAGCTCCCATGTGTGAGCCTGTTGCCATCTTCGAGCCCGTCTCTTCCCGATGTTATCGTCTGCTGACAAGGAAATTTTTCTAGGGAAGGATCACTATACGAGTGCCGATTAGTCTCCTTCAGGCAGGTGAACCGTCAGCCTACAGCGCCGAGACAAAATACTTGGGGGGTGTTAAGACCGGCTGTTCCCGATTGTCAGGGGGTTTTGTCCCGGTCTTACAATTTCGAAACCGCCCTGTTGCGAATCCTCCGCCAAAAGGGGACTTTTGTCGAGTTGTCGCGGTATCGCAGTACTCATTCTCAGACGCGTCATCTTACGGTTGAATGCAGTGAAGCATCGAGTAGGCGGCAGACGTTGAACCCAATTAAGCCGCGAGCGCTTCATAAGGACCCTCAGTGACCGGCGATTCTGTCACTTGAGCCTGCGGTGGCCTTTCTGGCGTTCACACCACCCGCAACGACCATGGAGCTTGAACACAAACAACAGATCATCACCAACGACGCATTCGCCCGTTCCGATAGTTCAGCATGGAGCTCCGTGCTATGCCTTCGAAACTTTGATCTCAATCCTCACCATGAGGAAGTCATTTTCTCCATCGTTCCTTGCTCTATCGCATTAATCTGGGGACTTTATCGTCGCCACCAGCTCCAGGCTAGAGCAGTGGTCTCACCCGGACACGTCCGCCCAGTGGCTAACCTGGTTAGCCTCATCATTTTGAGCTTCCTGTTACTTTTGATCGCACCCACCTCAATCGCCATCGTACCGATTGCTGTCGTGTTGACATCCGGTATCGTCAGATATGCAGGGCAGCAGAGCGACGCCTGGATGGACCAAGGGTCAGGTCTTCTCACGCTCAAGCAGGCATGTTTCGAGAGAGCCGACTCGGCAGAACTGATGAGGCTAATACCCGCAAATAGGTCCTCTGGCAGGCTCTCACGGCGTTCCAAATCATCTCACTCATGAGAGTCGCCCTTAAAAGAGACAGTCAAAGTCAATTTGGTGTCAATCTTGCTTCTTGGATCTTGTCGGTTACGACCAGTGTCCTTTCCACATTGCTATCGGAGCGCGAGCATCGCAAATCACTCGCTCCATCAGCCCTCCTGCAGCTTTTCCTACTGATCACCATATTTCTCGACGCAGCTCGCGTGAGAACGGCTTGGCATCTATCACCGCAAATCAACAGCGAGGGTTACACCGCCCTGCTCTTGACAGTTCAAGTCATCCTCAAGGTACTCTTACTCGCAGCCGAGTCGGTGTCAAAACCAGTCATCATCGCCATCCCAGCTAGGCGGGTCTCGAGAGAGGAGAAAGCAGGTATCTTTGGCAAGAGCTTCGCGACATGGGTCAACCCTCTGCTGCGCCTAGGGTGGAAGAAGAACCTCGTAGCAGAAGATCTCGATCCTCTTGACGAAAGTCTTGATGGAGAGGCGGTGCTTGAGCGGCTTTCCTCGGCGTGGAAGAACGGTACGTCACTCTTCTCACCTACTCTTGATGATTATGTTGCTGCTTGAGTGACGCCTGATGCTGAATGATACTTCCCATAGTCGATCAGGACAGGAATCACGCCCTCGTCATAGCAGTTCTCAAGGCCTTCCGAGCCGAGCTGTTCTTCATCCACATCCCGCGCGTCGGCATGGTAGTCTTTGGTCTCACGCAACCTCTCCTCGTGCAAACCACAATCGAGTACATCCAAAACCACAGTGACAAGCCCATTAGCTATGGTCAAACTCTCATCGCCGCTTTTGCCATCACATATCTCGGACTATCCGTACGTGCCACTATTCCGAACTTTGGAAAGCTGAGGGATACAGAACTAAACACGCTCTTCTTGCATTCAGATCTCCACCAGATGGTCCGGGCAACTCACTCACCGCCTCATCACCCGCATACGCGGCGCCCTCATCGCCATCATCTACCAGAACATGCTGACCCTCCACGCCGAGATAGGTAACTCACAAGCGGCGGTCGCGCTGATGAGTACCGAGGTTGAGCGCATCACCGTGGCGGCTCAGTGGTGCGTCGCCATCGTCCCTAATCTTATCCAGCTCGGGTTCGCCATGTGGATCATGAGCGAGCAGCTCGGAGCTGTGAGCGTTGCTCCTATCGTCATCGCGCTTCGTAAGTTGATCGTCTCCTCATAGCTCTGGTATCATGAACCTGGTGTTTGTCTAATAGGTTTGATAGTCAGTGTGTCGGCCGGTATCAGAACAGGCCAGTTGATCCCACCGCGGCAGAGGAAGTGGATGCAGGCGATCCAGAAGCGGGTTGGTATCACTACCGAAATCATTGGGTCAGTCAAGGGCGTCAAGATGAGCGGTCTGACTAGCACAGTCCAGGACCAGATACAAGGTCTCCGGGACTTTGAGCTGGATGAGTCCAAGAAGTTCAGAAGAGTGCAGATTCTCAACGTTCTCATCGGTAGGCCAAGCATACCATGCGCCCCTCAATGACATTGCGTCTCACACTGCCTAGGCCAATTCCCATCTATCATGACCCCGTCCATCACCTTCGCCGCCTTTGGAATCATCTCGAAACTATCCGGTGGCCAACCTCTTAACGTGGTTCAGGCTTTCACATCTCTCAGTCTCCTCGGGATCCTGATCAACCCCGTCTCCGAGCTCGTCATGATCCCGAACAACCTTGGAGCAGCCATCGGGTGTCTTGACAGGATCCAAGAGTACCTCGTTAAAGAGAAGCGGGAGGATCATCGACTCGTCAAACCAAATACATCTCCAGACCCCGCCGTGCAGGAAGACAATGGGACCAGCGAACCACCGCAAGCTGGCAGCCAGGCACAACCCCTGATCAGAGTCTCGGACGGTTCCTTCGGCTGGCACAAAGGCCAAGCCATTGTCAAGTCATTAGACCTCGAGATCCGTCCAGGAAGCCTCACAATCCTCGTCGGACCAGTCGGCTCCGGCAAATCTACTCTACTCAAATCCCTCGTGGGGGAAACGTACCGCATCTCGGGGTCGGTGGAGTATGCAAGCTCAACAGACGTAGCATACTGCGACCAAGACCCCTGGATCCTGAACCAGAGCATCAAGGAAAACATCATCGGCGGCGTCTCTTCGCACGACGCGGCAGACTCTTATGACAAGGTCATTCGCGCATGTCAGTTGGACGAGGATCTTAATCTACTCCCGGAAGGCGATACGGCCATAGTCGGAAGCTCGGGTTCCGCTCTTAGTGGTGGTCAGAAGCATCGTATTGTACGTTATATCACTCAAGGCCTCTTTCAGATGAGGTGGAACATGTCACTGACTGTTTTCGATAGGCACTTGCTAGAGCCGTTTACAGCGGAAAGCAGATCATCATCATGGACGACAATCTGAAAGGCCTGGACTCCAAAACGGCTTCAAAATGCTTCAATGCACTATTTGGGACCGATGGACTTTTACGCGGAGAGGGGAGGGCCGTGATCTTTGCAACACACAACGGTAAGAGAATCTCATGTTTGATCCAATGTTCCTATTCTTTTGCTGTCAAGACATACAAGGGAGCGCACACTGATATAGCCAATTATGGTCACAGCCCAGTGGCTTCGTTCCGCGGACAATATCATCTCCCTCGGTAGCGATGGAACCATCTCCGAGACAGGCCTGTACGAAGACCTCTGTAAGACTGGAGGCTACATTAGCACTCTCAAGGTCACTCAGAAAAGTGGCCAGGAAGAGCGCGACTCTGTGGAAGCAGAAGTTGAAGCCGAAGAGAACAGAAACAAGAAAGACAAGGCTGCCGCGGTCCCCAAGCCGGATGACTCGTCTAAGACCAAGACTCGCGGCGCCGCGAATACGAGCTCCCTCTTGTACTATATCAAGTCCATGGGACTTACACCCTTCGGGCTTTTTGTGGTGATGGTCATCTTTCAGACGATATGCAGAATTATGCAACGTAAGAAATCTACTAAATTAGCCCCCTAGCTTCTATGCTGCTCTGCTAGGAGTCACGTGTGGAGGTATCCTTGGACTATACTTACCAATTCATAGGCCTCTGGGTAAAGTTCTGGGTCGCCGCCAACGAGGGAGGAGGACAAGAGAATCTGGCGATGTGGGTTGGCGTCTACCTCCTCTGGGGCGTCTTGACGGAAATGGCCCTTGCCATCGAGTGCTAGTGAGTTCTAAACCTCCCTAAATATATCCTACCGACCCTTCTATAAAGGTGAGGCCTGGATTACTGACAGAGTTACGATCCGTTCTCAAGCTACTTCCTTGTTGTCATTGTTCCACACTCGGCCAAAGGGCTTCACTTTAGCGTCCTCAAAGCCGCCCTCTCGTAAGATTTGTTTTTCCCCATACTTACCGTTTTGACTGAAATAAAGGCATCTGACATCTGAAATTTTGCCAGCGCACCCCTATCTTTCTTCGTCAAGACCGATACAGGCATCATCATCAACCGGTAGGCCCATCTGCCCCCTTATTGATTCCATCTAGGCCCTCAACTAACCTCCATACTCCATCCAGATTTAGCCAAGACATGAACCTCGTCGACCTTCCCCTTCCCCTCGCCTTCATGCTGACCTTCGACAGTAAGAACCACAACCCCCATCCTCAGCCTTCCCATCTCATTAAGTCCAGTAACTAACATCACGAACAGACCTCACCCTCGCAATAGCAGACATAACCCTGACAACCCTCGCCACACCAACCCTCTCCCTCTCCATCCCAGTCCTCGTCCTCATCCTCTACCTCCTCCAAAGAATCTACCTCCAAACATCCCGCCAAATCCGCCTCCTCGACCTCGAAACCAAATCTCCGCTCTTTTCCCACTTCATCGCCTCCGCCACCGGCCTCGTCACCATCCGCGCCCTCGGACCCCACTGGACATCCCGCGTGCAATCGCAGAACCTACAGCGGCTAGATCTCTCCCAGCGCGCCTTCTACGCCACGGGAAGTCTGCAGAAGTGGCTTCTACTGGTACTGAACCTCCTCGTTGCGGCGTTGGCGGTGTTGTTGGTAGCATCTGCTGTTGTGTTGAGGGACCGGGTCGACGCCGGGTTGCTTGGAGTCGCGCTCGTGAGCGTGATGACGTTTGGGCAGCTATTGACGCTGTTGTTGAATTATTGGGCGCAGTTGGAGACCAGTTTGGGTGCTGTGGCGAGGATTAGAGAGTTTGAGGCGGAGACTCCGTCTGAAGAGAACGAAGGTCATGATGAGAATCCTGCGGTGAAGGTTGAATGGCCTTCCAGGGGGGGGGTTGATATGCGGAACGTATCGGCGGCGTACGATGACCATCAGGTCCTCAGTGGCGTCAATCTCTCTATCAAGCCGGGAGAGAAGGTGGCTATTTGCGGACGGACGGGGAGCGGCAAGTCTACGCTTCTTGCGCTTCTTCTGCGACTGCATGAGCCGTCTACTGGTGTCATTGAGGTAGACGGTGTGGATATCCGGAGCGTACCCGTCACACGGCTTCGAGAATCTCTCGTTGCGCTGCCACAGGATCCGCTCTTTCTACCCGGGACTGTTCGTCTAAACCTGGACCCGTTCGAGTCTTGTAAGGATGATGCCGATATCTGGGAGGCATTGGAGAAGACGGGGTTGAAGACTCTCTTCGAAGATAAGGGAGGTCTTGAGTCTGATTTGAACACTGACTGGCTGAGCGCGGGGCAGAAGCAGCTATTCTGTATGGCCAGGGCTATCTTGAGGGAGAGTCGCGTTTTGCTGTTAGATGAAGCGACAAGCAGGTGAGCCTTTTATCTCTATTTTCACTATCGGGCGTCAATCACGCTAACATTTACCAAAAAGTCTCGATCAAGCCACGGAACAGATCGTGCAAGATCTCATCGGTAGCGAGTTCCAAGGATGGACAATCATAGTCATCGCCCACCGACTACGGGCCGTCGTGGACTTTGACAAGGTTGTGACGCTCCAGGAAGGGGAAGTCGTGGAATTTGATAGTCCCAAGAAGCTGCTTGAGGACGGAGGCGCGTTTGCTGCGATGTGGAAACTACAAGGAGGTTGAATGATTCTTCCCTTCCTCGGGCTTTTATCTTTCTATCCGTTACTCTTACGTCAAGACAGCTGCAGTACAGTAGCCAAGCGATTGATTTCGACTGGTCTTACCCAAAGAAAGAGAAAAGCTTGCAGTAGAAATTTGTGCATTATTTCCCATACGTAACTAGGTGCTCTCATTACTAGATCATGCATACTTATTTTCGTTTGTATCATTCTCTCCTTGGTTTGGAACTACTCTTCTCCAAGGCGCATTCGTAGCCCAGTCGCCCCTATTTGGTCTTCATCTTTGCGGCAGCCTCCTTGGCGAGGGCGCGTTGCTTCTCATCAGAAGCCGTCTCCGATATCGACGTAATGCTGTCCGCCCAGACGCCATACCGCGCCTCATTCATCCCCCTCCAGTCGCGGTCCGCAAATTTGCTCCCCGGCTTGCCCGACTTGCCGTCAAAATCGCGCCCCTTGACGCTCAGATCATGGATGGCAACCGGGGCGTCTTTAAGCCACTGGTAAGCCAGCCTTGTAGCAATATCATGCGTTTCGGCGCTCGCCGCAGCAGAGTCTACCTCGAAGGCGTCACGGAGTGCCCAGAGAGCGTAGAGGGAGAAATCAAAGGGGTCCTGGGAGTTGGTAAGGTCGGCGCGGGCGGTGAGCTGGGCGGCGAAGGCGGAGAGATTTGTCCAGCTTGCCTTTTCCTCTGCTGATGCGGAAGTGTCGGTGGTGTCTGGGGTCGTTAGTAAAGATGTCCTCGTATGAAGTAGCACAGCAGTATTTGTATAGCATATCCCCTGCTGCAAGTAGTGGCTGTACTCACCAAAGTTCCACAGATCACGGGCAACCCATCCAAAGGTGGGAAGATCCTTCCAGACGACTTGGTTGTTCAATTTCAAGGGTTGACCATCCGAGGCTGTGACTGTTGTCTCGCGCAGCCGTTGCAGGAAATCGACGAGCGGGGTCTGCTTCTCTGGAGGGGTCTGCTTGGCGACGGCGAAGATGGCGTTGTACGTGTCCCAGAGGAAATCCTCGATCTGCGACTCGGACTTCTTTGCCAGGTCCTTGAATTCGTCGACGGTGTTTTCGAGTGCCTTCTTATCGGTTGTGCCATCAGTCTTGACGAAGGAGCTGAGGGACTTGTAGGTGGGCAACGCAGCAATTGCATCGTTCACGCCCACCTTGGGAACATCGTTTTTTGGCAACAAGTCATTCATTTCGGGTATATGTGAGAAAGAACGAGAATGAGTAGAGACAAATGGCTTTCCAGAGGTATTTGAGTAAGAGGTGGAGGGGTTGCGATGTTGACAGTTTGACAGAAGATGTGGCGGTGGTGGAGGTGCTAGTGTTGATAGCCGTTTTATGGCGATGTCACAACGGGAAGGTGGGAAGCCTGGACGAGGCCAATTTGGCCAATCTCGGCCCACGTGGAGGCAACGCAGCTTCACTGACGTCGTCAGCGGGGAGTCGCGCATGCGGTACGTACTTGCAGTCGTACCTGCCAGAGCCTGTGAGAACGTTAGGTTAGCAGGTAAGGAAGGAAAGAGGCCCCGCTCTCGCCTGCCACGCTGCACCGTGCACGGAGAGGAGAGGCAGGAGCCGGCCGGGCAGCCACAGAAGGCACGGCGGGCAGGGACATGACGAGACACGGAAGCCATGCACTCTATCTCAATGCCTCCAAATGCATGTGGCTGTGTCTGTAAAATGTTTGTTTGCCCGTTCAGAGTGTGGCACGTCCAGCTGAATTATGTGCATTTATTTCCATTGGACCTAACTGCATCTCGTCTCGGTTGATCGGCTCCTCCCGCTCTCCAGCCCAGGACCTGGCGCTGCAAAGAACCCAAACCATCCAGCCAATCGCCCCCAAACAAGTGGAGACGGCGGCCTCTGGGAAACAGGTGCGAGATTAAGCTTATGTTTTTTGTCAAGCTTTGATTGGTGTCAACTCTGATTCCACGTGACCTTTCCCTTTCGTTCCAGCACCGTCTCTGGACCCGGCTCACCTGAAAAAACCGCGGAAACGCCTAAAGAATCTAAAGACCAATAAAGTTTGGAGCTGTTTGGGGTCGTTTGGGAGTTGGGAAGGAACCGCCCAGCCTGGCCCCGGTGCAGGAAGGGACGATGTGAGCTGAAATCGGCTGGATTTAATTTGCATTTGTCCACACTTGGCACACGGGAATCGGGTTCCTCGCGCCGGCCAAGTTTCTCGGCAGCTTTGTTGTCCTTTCTTCGCTCGCCTTATTCTTCCAGTCAACTCAATAAAGCATTCGCAACTTTTAATCGCGGGCGGGCCCATCATCTCCTTGATTATTGACTTAATTCACGCCACACCTCGCCCTCATCCATTTCTCGTCACGTCTCGGAAAGACGTTGTAGGCCCGCATAGACACCACATCACCCAACGTCCTCGGACACATCGACATCAATCTCATCTCAAACCACCATTCTAGTCCACCAGACGACGCCATTCAAAATGGTCTCTTTCAAATCCGCCCTCACCCTCACCCTTTGCGCCGTCTCCGCCGTCGCGAACCCCATCGCCAACCCCGAGCCCGAACAGGCCCTCGAGAAGCGCCAGGGCACAACCGACGTCGGCACCGTCACCTGCGGTAGCAACAAGTACTCCAAGAGACAGATCCAGGACGCCACTGCAGAAGGCTGCCGTCTCTATGCCGCCAACCAGCAAATCGGCACCAGCCAGTACCCCCACCGCTTCAACAACCGCGAGAACCTCGTCTTTGCCACATCGGGCCCCTACCAGGAGTTCCCCATCATAACTTCTGGAAACTACAGCGGACGTAAGTCGCATTTGGATCCCCTAACATCTCATCATTCCCCAGGAACCGGTTTCTTGGCATTTCAACTGCCACCTTCGCCCTCTTGGCACGTCATCGAACATGAGAACACGCACTGACATTGCTACATCATGCAGGGGCGCCCGGAGCCGACCGTGTCGTGTTCGACCCGGCCTACCGGGGCAGCTGTGTCTACGTCGGCGCCATGACCCACACCGGCGCTGCATCGCGCAACGGCTTCGTCTCTTGCAACCAGACGAGGTCGTCGTCGTCGGCCAATGGCACATCTGCTGCGTCGAGCTACAAGGGTTCCGGCTCAATCGGGGCTGTTGTCTCTATTCTCTCGCTTCTGGCACTCACTGCTTAATCGAACTCGGCATGCAACGCAAGAAAACAAATGCCGAGCGAGGGGTAATGTGAGAGACGGGACATGATGACGCCGCTAGCCGAGGGGTAGCGGATCGACTCAACTCTCGACGTATAGACTCTGGTCTGGCCCTCATCGGGCGCCGTCCCCGGAGGAGAGAGAGTTCAGTGGAGGAAAACAACAGAAATGAGGCTGTCTGCGCCTGATGTTTATGGTATTTGGAAATCGCCTTTTCGGACGTTATGGGTAAGAGGGGCTCGAGCTGGGGATTGAGTTCAGAGCTTAGCCGGCCACGGTAACTTGCCCGCCTCACTGAGTTGTTGCCGCACCAAGAGACAAGGGAACCCACTTCATCGCAAGTTCGCAACACCATGCGAGAGCGAATTAGAGCTGGGAAACTTTCAACGAGTGTCCAGTCTCTTACCTCTGGTTCGTGGCTCGACAGAGGGTGCCGCAGGAGGGATCTGCCTCTAGAGCTCTTAGGCTGGTGTTGAGGTAAACCAGTTGGGCCTCTACTCACTAATATGAGCCAAGCCAGTAATAATGAAACTTATTCGGACGCGTATTGCACCCAGAATACAGTCACTTCAATTGCACTCATCTCATCGTCAATTCTCACTCCAAGGCCTATTTTCATCTCTGCTTTGATGCGCGCACTCACTCATAGCCTCCAACATCCAATCATGACCCCTGTCTGCGTGCTGTTCAATGACCCCACCACTTTCAAGATGACGGCTGCCTGCTCATCTCAGCCCAAAATCTCACTCAAGCATCGAGGCAGCTCATTCTCAATCTCAGCCTCGTAGATTTAAATCTCATCAAATGAGAGTCAGCAATTGAGAGTTGACATTCCAATCTAAACCAACAATGATCATCTGTAAATTTTGCCGGACTACAATCCTAGAGTCTGGGAAACAGTGGGACTATCACCACCAAGACTCCGACTCATTCAAGAGCTCACTGCGATCTCAATGCGTCTTTTGCATGAGGCTGGCTGAAGGTCTTGGTGAGATTGACGCTTGGTTCGACCATGATTTCAAGGCCAAGTCCCTCTTCCGTTGGAATATACGGCAGGCCGCTCAGATCCGTGAGACGAAGAGCCATGTCTCCGTCACATTTCGACCGGTGCCGGGCCGCGCTTGTGGGGATGTGCAGAGCGAAGATCTACCAGAAGTCACATTCTATCTCTTCCCCGAAGAAGGTTGGTCACTCTCATCGCAGATTTCAATTTGCATACAAGAGCTCATGCACATACTCACACCCCTCATAGATCTGGGCGACATACCCGAACGGCACGAACTCGGAAACCGAACAGACTCAGAGGCATCCAAAGTCCAAATGATAGACTGGATGCAAGACTGCATCGCCAACCACCCGAAATGCGTACGAAGCCATAGCATCAAGTCCTTCATCCCAACCCGTGTTCTCGACGTCGGTCCAACAAACACCAACAACAACGACGCAGATCCGCCCTCTCACATCCGTGTGATTGACACCACCAAAGAACCGATTACTGGCCCCTACATGACCCTATCTCACTGCTGGGGCATCGGCTCCTTCATCCGCCTCACAGAGGCCAACGTCGACGATTACACGACCAACGGCATCCCCTGGACAGAACTTCAGGCCAGCAATGCGAACTTCGCCGACGCGGTGCGCGTTGTTCGTACGCTTGGAATGAGGTATATCTGGATTGACTCGCTGTGTATCATTCAGGGTCAGCAGCACGGAGAGGACTGGAACCACGAGGCACCACTCATGCATAAGGTCTACCGGAACTCGTGGTGCAACCTCGCCGCGGCGGACTCAAAGGACCACACTCGCGGCCTCTTCAGGGAGAGGGTGGCGGAGGTGGTTCCTGCGAGGTATGAGAGCCAGCAACCATCCGTGACCTTTGGAGATAGAGTTTGGAGGGTTTTACCGGCTGATTTATGGAATCGCGATCTGTTGGGAAGTCATCTCTACACTCGCGGCTGGGTATTTCAAGGTCAGTATCCCGGCCCCCTTTTCCTCGCCCTCACCATCATCCCCAATCAGTATACTAACACGCTAACCAGAACGCATGCTCTCCCCCCGCCTGCTCCAATTCACTTCAACCCAGCTTTTCTGGGACTGCGCAACTCTCACCGCAACCGAATCACTCCCCGATGGCTTGCCCCCACCCCTCGACACCAAATCCGCTACCGACAGACATTGGCGCGAACGCCTGCAATCCTCCGCCCTCTCCGTCCGGCCCCTCGCCGGCACAGCCGAGGACTCGCTCGAAGAGTTTTGGAAGAGCGCCGTGGCGGCCTACACGAGCTGCAACCTCACCTACGGCAAGGATAAACTCGCTGCACTGTGGGGCATCGCAAAGCTCCTGCGGGATGCGCTGGGCGAAGAGTACGCTGCGGGGTTGTGGGGGATTAATCTCGCTGAGCAGCTCGCGTGGCGGGTCGTTGATTGTTCTACCGCAGAGAGGTATGGTGAGAAGGAGAAGGTTGTGGTTCCTGGGGGCCAGGCGGTTGGGAATCCGAGTTGGTCGTGGACTTCGTTGAAGGGGGAGGTGGAGGTTGCGGGTAGGGTGCCGAGGTTACCGAGATTCTATACTGCGTGCGACCACGGAGGTGGGAATGCGAGGTTTCAGATCAAGAAGCCGCTTTTTGGGAGGTTTGAGGGGGAGCACTCGACGGTGTGGAGGGATGAGGTTGTCAATATGACGAGGAAGCTGAATCGGGCTTCGGAGAGGGTGTCGGAGAAGGCTAGGGTTAGTGGTGTTACTACGATTACTCCCATTGTTGAGGATATATCGGAAGAAGAGGTTGGGAAGGACGGGATGCCGAAGGTGGCGGCGCAAGGCGCAGTTACGCAGCCGGAAGCGAAGAGGGAGTTTGCAATGGATAAGCCCTCGGAGCTTCTATCTACCTCGCTCCGCATCCAGGCGCATATATGCCTGGGGACGCTCGAAGCATCTGGGGATGGTCACTGGTCGTTCACTTTTCCAGGGCTGAATCAGAGTGATGCACTCATCGAAGCCTATCCCGACATTCTGCCTTCAGGGAGCAACGTGCCGTGCGAGATGGTCTTGCTCGCGGCGTCAAAGTTGCTGCAGAATAAATGGGGTCGATGGTTCCTGGATGATGGGTATGTCGAAGACGAGGACGTCGCTGAAGTGAATTACTCCGGGACGGGGATTCTTGTGGAGAGGGTTGGGGAAGGACGGTATAAGCGGATCGGCGCTGTTGTGTTTCGGCAGGTGAAGAGGGAGAGTTGGGCTTGTTTGCGGCAGGCTTGTGGGAGTGGTGGGATGATGTTGGAAGATGAGCTCCAGGTTGAGGATGGAGAGAAGATTTGGCTTGAATAGGGACCTGGGTCTATGCCCATCGAGGTTCTTTTGGAACCAACGATGACTTCCTTTGAAGATGAAAGTACACTGCGTTCATTGATGGGCGTTTGAGGTGAATAGAGGGCGACTTGTATCGGCCGTGAGATATGATCAAGTGACATGGGATGGATGGCTGGTAGAACAGCACTTGGGGAGCAGCCCCTGTAAGCCAAAAGCAATAACCGTTGCCAACCCGATGGGCTAGAAACGGTCTCTTCTTAACTGCTTACACACAGTTTAACTAGAGAGGCGATACTTCACATTTGGTTGGAGACAATTTGACGAATACTGCAGTTTACCTCAACTTGAGCTATTGTACAAACTCTGTCATGTCATCATCATATACGTAAGGCTTCAGTGGTCTCCCTCCCCATAACACGAAGCCAAGTTCCAACGCTATCATAACGCTGTGAAAAACGCCCACAAAACATCAGGAAATCAATAACCAATGCTACCAACCCCCCCTTGTTCCTCAGTTGGGCTTGGTAGGAGCAGGTCCAGGACCAACACCCGCACAACCAGTATATCCTGCTACCGCCTTGGAGGTGCTGCAAAATCGTTAGTCAAAGCCCTCATGGAACTAACCAAAACCGTTCTGTGAACTTACCAATCCATGATACAACCCTTATCCTTGCCGCTCTTGCCTTTGTCGCCCTTGTCTCCGAGGCCCTGGTCTGCTCTGCTCGACAGGGATCTCTTGGCGGCTCCGCAAGCGTCTATACACTTGACGTGGTCTGCGGCGGTTTGTACCTCGCAGGAAGCGATAGCACCTCCCTCCTTCTTGCCTCCTTTGTCCTTGCCGCCGTCGGCTTGTAGGTCGGCTGGTGCTGGTGCGGCGACGACGAGTGTGGCGGCGAGGAGGGTGAATACTGTTGAGAAACGCATGTTGCAAGTTGCGTGAGATTGTTAGAATCTTGTTGAGGCGTTTTGAGCTTGGCTAAGCTGGTAGGTTTGGCTCGACTATGAGATATTGAAGAGTTTGTGGTCGTGAGCGATTAGCTTGATTGCGCGTTTTGACTTGGACGTAAAGCTATGGTTTGAGTAGTGTCTTCTGGGTGTTGTTTGTTATGAATGTGGTAGACAGTATTTGATGATGGCTGCGGCTCCCGTTGTAAGCAGGGAGTTTTCACTCGCTTTATAAAGATTTTGGTAATGATAAAAGCCCCTCTTGAACTTCTCCTTGGCTCTGCGAATGCGATCCCGCCCATACCATGTCACGATGAACATTACCTCAGAGTTCAATCAACACCCAACGACCCACATGCACCTTGGAGCCTATTTCGATCAGTCCCTGGAACGTCAGTGGATGACGTCCATTCATGCTCTCGCATTAAGCATCCGCTTTAGGCCGTGGGGCACGGATTTAGACTTTAAAGGGCCCGCTGGCCGTTGTGAATTTAGTAGGAGAGCAGGGATGGTCTGTACGGTCTTTACCCATACAACATCGGACGACTAAATGATCCGAATACGCAAAGGGAGCAGCCGCAAGGCGCCAAGGCCAGTAAAGCAACGGTGATTTAGTGGTGGCCTTGGGCGAGTTTGGTATAAGTGACGTGTCCGTGTGCCTTACTTCGGATGAGATGTCGAATAATTGACATGTAAGCTAGGATCATACTGTCGAAAATATGGTTTTGAGATCAGGGTTCCACCTCGTTGGAATACCCTCGGGAGATTTTACGAGCCTCGGGACCAACACGTGAAGGCTGTCGTCTTGAACTTTGAATTGCATCATTTAGATTGTCAGTTGAAAGTTCCTAGGCTCTGGAAGATTCAAGCATCATCAAGTTAAGAGATCGCATTCGATTGTGGTGATGATTGGTGGTTGAGGGCCTTCTCGCCCCTGACAAGACGCCAGGGGGGCCTTCTTTCATCGGCTGGTTCAGAGCCTCATTGTATCGAATGCGATGGAACCTCGTCATCGTCGATCAATGATTCCGGGTACCTAGGAGAGTCGTCATAGCCCGGTGAGCGAGTGTTCGGATGGCCAGCTCAGTTTAAAGCCCCTAGTACCTGCATGCCGAGAAAGATCTAGATTGAGAAGCCACTTCGTCGGCCTGTTACAGCCTCACTCTGAGTAAACTCTGAGGTCGGTGATTCTCTGGATCAATTGAATCATCGTACACTTATAGCTGAGCTACTTGCGTCACGGCCTTCATCGCACGCTTCTCGTTTAGGCTTTGCGAACCCCTCTCCGTTTATGCAGGCACGAACTCCATGCCATTCAGTAGCCTCAAGAAATGATTGTTTCTGGTTGCGAGTAAAGAGATCGGGACATATTCACACACCTGGTGAGGAGTGGCTTGTGTGATGGAATGACGCATTTCTACCCTCTAAGTCGGCAGTTATGTTCACGCCGGCCGAAGTAGATGGAATAAGTGAGATTCCCTGGCGAGTCAACTGCACGTTATCCAGTGATAACGAGTCCGAATACGCCAATTACCTAATGGTTGCTCTAGATCAAATGAAACTCAAATGCTCATTTCGACTTCAAAGGATGTAGCGTTCCGCAAGTCATGCTTCAATTGCTTATTAGCCTGGCCGCCTGAATCTTGCATTTCAAGAAGCTGCCTTTTTGTTTCAGACGTTTCTCTCTCCAATTCTCCATCTCTCATGATATTAGTTAGCATCTTTGTGGGCTCCCAAGGAACTCAAGTTGATGTTGTGACAATTCAAAGTGAAGTTATCTACCGAAGATGATTACAACTTACACTGATACTCAATGGGGCCTGTGACTAAAAGTATGCACGTTGTGATGGTCAAGTATTCGAAGCTGCCAGATTATGAGGCTATTTGACAGATGTCCTGATCGAATAGCTGGTTGCAGCTTGTGGAAGTCGTTTTGAGCTCTGCATTCGGTCACAGGTGTTCATGTTGATTAGAGGCTGTGAGAGTTCAACAGTTGATGGGGGTTGAGTTGCGGCTTCGATTTCAGAGACAATCCCTAATATTGAGTCGACGTAGAATCCCATTGCCATCTCAACGACTTCAAACAACCTGCATTGGGCAAGTTGAATACCATCGTAGACGATGCATCTTGTGGGGCAAGAAAAGATGCACAGCCGGTTATGCCCCAGCCTGCAGCCATTCAGCCATACGAAGCTGAGTTTACTTGGCATTCGACTATTGAAAAACCAATACGACGAACTGCAGGATCACGCGGACTGTTCACGGCGTTCTCCTCAACCGATGCCCGTGGTCTTGGCCCTGTCGATCACCGCGTTGAGCAATCGCTTGAACCTGATGATCAGCAGGTTTTCCCGCCTTGGATGCGGGGTCACTGTGGAGGTTCCCATCGACAATCACCGTTACAGTGTGATGAAGAAGCTGGGGAAAGACGCTATGTTCGGCTCCGAGATCCCCACAGTGGTCGTTTGATCGGAAGACTAACCGGTTTCAACCTGTCGAATGTGACGCTGTATGACCTGGAGATTCTGCTCATTCGCTTCACACTGACCCGAACCAGTGTTTGTATATGCGCAACAACCAGAGAAATTCCCAATAGCTGGGCAACTACGTAATGTGTTCTGACATGTAAGTTGCCAAGACATTGGCATTGGACCTTGAGTGCGTATACAAACATCGTGACAGTCGCGCAACTTTGGCACGATGCTTGAACAACTTCAAGTTCGCATCCCGAGTCTTCATACTCCAGCAAGTAGCTTCATTGAGACTCAGAGTCGCGATGCGTGCCTCACCACTTGCTTTGGCCGCCGCCCTCACCGTGGGCGGCGTAAATGCTGCCCTGAGTGTTGTTCCAGGGGCAACATGGACTGCCGTGAGTGGACCCCAGTCGCTTGAAGAAGCTTATTCTGACTCGCCTAACCACAGACGAACACCGGAGAGCACGTCCAAGCTCATGGCGCAGGTATCATGTAAGTTGAGCTCAGCCTTCACGCTTGTTGAAATGCGGCAATGGCTTGAGAGTATGAGACAGCTAACATGAAGCAGTGAGGAGAATGGTGTTTACTACATGATTGGCGAGGAGAAGACAGACGGTGCTGCGTTCCAAGCAGTCAACTGCTACTCTTCCACGAACTTGATTGAGTGGAGCTTCCAGGGGCGCCTCTTGACTCGAACCGAGGAAGCCGGTGACCTCGGTCCCAACCGCATCATTGAGCGACCCAAGGTCACCAAGAACGATGCCACTGGAAAATACGTTCTGCACCTCCACATCGACTCTTCCGACTACAAGGATGCCAAAGTCGGTGTTGCGACAGGCGACAGCGTCTGTGGTCAGTATGAGTATATCCGCAGCTTCCGGCCGTTCGACTTCCAGAGCCGTGATATTGGCATCTTCAAGGATGATGATGGAAGTGCTTACTTGTTGAGCGAGGATGTAAGTCTGAAGTCTATCTTCTGCTGCTAGAAGTGCCGGTCTAATCACCAGATAGCGCGAGTATGGTACCCGCATCATCAAGCTCACGGATGACTACCTCGATGTTGCTGAAGTAACATTTGGCTGGGAGTACTTCGCCGAGTCACCCGCGCTTGTCAAGCGCGATGGCACGTACTTCATCTTTGGCTCTCACCTCACGGGATGGAACCCCAACGACAATGTAAGAGTGCCTTACCCGAGCTTTTAATGAGAATTGCTAACATCTTCGCAGGTCTACAGCTACGCCACTTCTCTCTCCGGACCTTGGTCTAACTGGACAGAGTTCGCACCTGTCGGCTCGAAAACTTACAACAGTCAAGTCAGCTTTGTCCTCCCTCTTGGCACCGACAAGGCTATCTACATGGGCGACAGATGGCACTCAACGAACTTGGCAGCGAGCACCTACATCTGGTTGCCCCTTCAATTTGATGGAACTACCGTGACTCTCAACTGGCATGATTCCTGGAACCTCGACACTGCTGCAGGCACCTGGTCCGAGAGTACAATCACGTCCGAGATCGAGGGCGAGACTGCCGCGCTTTCGAACGGTGCTCGCATCGTCGACTGTTCGCAGTGCAGTGGCTCTTCGGCCGCAGGATATCTGGGCGGCGACGAAAATGGAACTGCCACCTTCAACTTCACCGTGACTGCAGCTGATCGGGTTACCCTCATCGTCAACCACAAGAATGGCGATACTGCCTCTCGACATGCCGCGGTGTCAGTCAATGGAGAAGAGCAGTCAGTTGCTTTCCTTGCGACGTCTCATCTCTCGACTACTGGAAGCAGCGCCATTCATGTCAACCTAGAGGAGGGAGAAAACACAGTCACGTTTTCGAGGTCCGAGGGATGGGGCCCGGATGTTGACCAGCTGGTAGTTCCTAGCGTGTAGCTCAAGTACCTTAGTATAAACATTGCTTAAACTTGGCAGTCTAAATCAGCTAAACCATATGTATTAGAGACGGAAAAGAATATCTGTTCAGCATATATCTCAACTGTCTCAAGTCATCTCTTGGGCGTTTGAGATGGATGCCTCGGAGTATTTGGTAGTCTTTATCTACCCATACTTCTGAATTTGAACGAAAGAATTGAAGCATTGAAGATACACCATGCATGTAGCTACATGAACGAGAGCCTCTATATCACGTACTACCTAGGTAACCTCGGGTTTGTCCCAAAACCCTTAATAACATGACTTCGTCTTCCCTTTTTCCAGACGTTTCCCCTCCCCATTGATATGCTGCAAAAAAACTTCAGACAGGTGAAAGCCTGTTTTGTTCTTGTCGAAGTCTGCATTGAGGTAACAGTCTATCATGCTGAGCAGATTGCACGAGTGCTTTGCTGAATGTCTATAAGAAAAGTCGCTACTCCATACTGGGGAACGAAAGGCCCGGACGATCTTCTCCGTATCCAAAATGGATAATCCTGAGTAAGGCTTTGCTGGCTTAGGATTGAGTAGCGTGTGCTTGTCCATTTCTTTGGTAAGGGCACCCAGAAGAATACTGCTGCATTCAAAGCTGCAACCGGCAGTTTCGTTTCGGAACGAGTCAAGCAGCCTGTGAAGCACTTCCAAGATAAACTCAACTGCATCTTGTCTGCGCCAATCTACCAACTCTGCGACAATTTCAGCGACAATGAAAAGAGAATCGACGGCAGAGACCTTACCAACGAGGCTAGATGGAATTGGAAGTTCCATTGTTCGAACAGGGCCGGCGCTCTTCAACACTGCCACCTGTGTCATTTGTTGGAAGATGTCGTCTTGTTGAAAAACATGTGATATCAGGACCCAGAGAACCATGTCTCTACCGTAATCTACTGGTAGTTTGTTTCTCAAATGCCCAATCCACGCAGGGCAGTAAATTTCGGTGACCTCGTGACAGTCGTAGTAGTCCACAAGCACCGCTAGCTTTGCCAACATCTCGAGATCCATCTGGCGGGGCACACTTCGTGTCTTTCCGTGGATGACTTGCATCAAAATAAGCAATGCCTCGGAATCCCAATCTGTTGCGTCCATGTGATAACAGCCATCAATGTGTTTGACTGCAGCCTCTTTCCACGGGCCAGAAAGCTTGGCCGAAAAGTAGCGAGATGCTAGAGCCAGGTGCCTCGAAGATACAAGATATTTTGCTACCGGCTCATTGGGCGCCTCTGGCTCTGTCGCTAACTCTGCCTCCGTCTCTGACTCTCGGGATACTTCTGGGTGCGGCTCTTCGTACGCCTCTGTCACTTCGGTAGCCTCTTCAGCCTCTATTAAGGCAGGAGCATGGTTACCACTAGACTCAGAGGGACCAGCGGATATGAAGTCAACACTTGGCACCTCAGGATCAATATTTTGTCGAGCTTCCGGGCGATCCTCAAACAGCAGTGACTTCTTCACCTTATTCTTCTTCTTCTTCGCTGCTTTGCGACTCCGAAGCGTCCCCCAGTCGCCATCGCTGTCAGGGGGCGTCGATTCGGGTTCATTTTGGAGTACCGTGGTCCATCTCAATGGGTAGTTAACGTTAAACTGAAATTTCGGTGTATTGCAAAACAAGCCCAAGGTATCGACTGCCGGGCCGCTAGTCTTTTGTCAGAGTCACCGTAGTAGCGATGCTAAGATTATTAGCAGGATTCTTACAGTTTCGTCGCATTCTCTTCGCCAGAGCACAAGCTTGTGTCCCAAATAGCAAAGGGAGCGTTAGGGTTGCGAAGAACCAGTATAACGTCCCCATTGGGGTCGATTTGGAAAGTCTGTTCGGACATAGTAAGGTTATGCAGAGGAGAAGCCTGAGTGGCAAAGCCTGATCAACTTTCGACAGCTTTCGGACGAGAAAACCCTCTCCTTTTGTAGCACACTTTTGCTACTGTTGGCTCATCTGTTGGGTAACACAACTTGCAAGTGTGTGTGGAGTCGATTGATGGCCTCCGGCAGCGGGTCAGCAAATCAGCGCTTCAGCGGCAACAGCTTGCAGCATCGAGAACCAACAGACCAATCCAGATTTCCAACCTGCCATATTATTGCTTGCTTAGATGCCAGATGGAAGAATTGGTGCATTACTGTTGCCTTCGCTGCAGCGAGATGCATGTCCAACAGGCGCGGCGTGCCGTGATCACTGTGTCTAGGCATGGATGTTGATGCCCAAAGCCATGCATCTTTTGGTCCCAGTCCTCCTTATGTTTCCGTCCATGATTCGTGTGTGATAAGAAGATAAAACTTGTTGTGGCGTTGTGAGAAGACGTACTTAAGTAATTTGGCACGGATTAATAAAATTTGCGTCTACATGCTGTCACAGTCGTTCGTCGAAGGCGCCGCTTCGGAGACGACTAGCAATAAACTACATATATTTAGCAGATATGTTTGTCAGGGCTCTCCATCTGGGTGTCTCACAAGCAGAGGATGTAGTATGATTGCTGAACCTTGTCGGCGAGATCATCGGAGAAAATACAGCATGATTAGGTACACGGAGAAATTTCGAGATAGTGAACCGAAACTCTTGCCAAGTTACTGAGCGCAAGATTTTCGGAGAAGAAAGAATTATGCCTTAGCGTGTTTTCTCTCACGCGCCATCGTTCTCGTATGCAATTCTTGTCGGCGATAAGAGCCAGAACATCCAGCTGGATCAAGAGTTAAGCATTTTCCAGGGGAGTCAACTAGAGCTGTTTCATGACTACGTCTTTGTTGTCTGAGTGTTGACAGTAAGCCAAATCGAGAGCCGTAGTTGAAAGCCACAGACGTGAGACCTGCGTCATCCATAACGTCATCACAGTCTGTGCATAGAATCCAGGTAAGCTGTTCTGATTCTATAGAACCTGTCTTGCATTCAATGCCTATTGCAATCGTGCGTGACACGCACTGATTGATCCCATTGCTCATCTGAATCTGGGTATTTCAGTATGTCAGAAGTCGATGTCCTCATCGTTGGGGCAGGTCCTACAGGCTTAACGTTAGCCATTGAGTTAGCAGCAAGAAACGTCGACTTCCGGATCGTGGAATCGAGAGACGAGGTATCGGATAAATCAAGAGCGCTCGTGGTGCAGCCTCGGACACAGGAGTTACTCTATCGCTATGGAGATATCCAGGAACTCATCTCACGGGCACGGCAACCGACCGGCATAGCGACGTGGATCAACCAGAAACCCGTCCTTGACATCACCTTCGGCAGCTCCGATGGAATCGCGTGCGAGTACGGAACCGACTTTCCTCGCCCCTTGTTGGCGTCACAACCCGAGACGGAGCGCTTCTTGAGTAAACGCCTGGAGGAGGTTTCCGAGGTTCTCCCTGAACGCGGAACTACGGCAAAATCAATTATTCAGGATGAGATCGGAGTTTCGGTGACACTCAAGAAGGGATCGCAAGTCGAACGTCTCCGTTGCAAATTTGTCGTCGGCGCAGACGGATCAAACAGCACCGTTCGGGAAGTTGGCACGAATTTCCAGTTCAAGGGTGCAGAATATCCGCAGGAGTTCCTCCTTTGCGACTGTCGCGTCAAGTGGAAGCAACCCCAAGCAGGCAAAGCGATGTTCATGCTTGGTCAGGGCTCACTCATTGTCATTCCGCTCGACGATGATATTATCCGCCTCGCTGGGAGCAGCTGGCTTGAAAAGACAGACAGAGACCCAACACTCCAGGATTTTCAAGACCAGCTCGACAAGATGGCACCAGATCAAGGAGAGCTCTTCGAACCGATCTGGCTGAGCAAGTTTCATCTGTCCAATCACGGGGTCAACAGTTACCGGGATGGACGTTTGTTCTTGGCAGGTGATTCTGCTCACGTTCATAGCCCTGCTGGCGGTCAGGGCATGAATACTGGCATACAAGACTCGATTAACCTGGGGTGGAAATTGGCGGAAGTCCTGAAACACAGAAGGGATCCCGACTTTCTCGATACGTATGACAACGAGAGGTCACCAGTCGGAAAGACAGTTCTCGCTAGGACCGATCGCATATTCACAGTCATGACATCACAGAACTTTGTTGCCACCTTCCTTCGGAACTACCTGGGGCCGATTGTTCAACCTCTCATATTCAAAGACTCTGATCGATGGAAGATGGCTTACAGATTCTCATCCCAACTCCACATCCGTTATAGGAAGAGCGACATTGTGGCTACTGGCAGCAGCTTCACCGGTCCAGTGCGTGGAGGGGACAGAGCGCCGAACGGTACCTTGATAGGCCCGGACGGGCAGGGAAAGCTGCATGATATCTTCCGTTCTTTGGACTATCAGCTCCTCTTATTTACTGGATTGGGCGAGAATTTCGCATCCGAGAAGGAGCTGAATGCTTCCGCTGCTGATTGCGGACCTGTTGATTTCCACATCATCTCTAGTCAAGAAGATCTGGGATATTTTGACGAAGACGGGAGCTTGCATAAGTTGTATGGGTTTGACAACCCCGGATACGTCTACGTTCGTCCAGACGCCTATGTGGAACACATTGGGCTACTTGATAGAATTGGCGAGCTTGAAACATGGATGAAGAATAGGCAGGCCGATGTTTAGGCTTGCCAGCCTAACATGCACACTGTCGCAGTTTGCGGACCAATACATGTAATAATTATTGAGAGTATAACAGTGGCCAACTTCCTCGGAAAAATGGACAAGATTGAGAGAGGCTTGTGCTCAAGAACAGACGCGACTGTTGATATACTCCGCGGGAAAGGTGTCGTCCTCGGGCAAGTTGAGTTGCCCCTCAGCCCCGCTACCCGCGGTAAACTCACACATGTTGTTATCAGCCCAGATAAATACTCACGGCCCTTCAAGATCTAGACGTAAATGAAGTGAACCATCGTCGGCGATCTCTTTTTCTTCTGACGAGCATTATTATCTGTCTTGCAAGTTTTCATCATGGCTACTGAGAGCACAGCCGCCTTCTGGGCGAAGACCGACAAGTACTTGATGTCAACGGGCGTTCCTTACTCTCCCGTTATCATCACAAAAGCCAAGGGCACGAAGCTTTACGATGCTGAAGGTCGCCAAATCTTGGACTTTACGTCTGGTCAAATGAGCTCTCTATTGGGCCACTCACATCCGGAAATCGTGGAGGTCGTTCAGAAGTATGTTGCTGAGCTCGACCATCTGCTCAGCAACATGATCACTCAACCAGTTGCTGATCTCGCCGAGAGATTGGGCAAGCTGTTGCCCGCTCCTCTTGAAAAGGTAACGCCCAGGTCACGGTGCTCAGTTTGTCTGGATCGCATTGACTAAGATCTGCTTAAAGTCCTTCTTCCTCAACACTGGTTCAGAAACCACAGAAGCCGCCATCAAGATGGCAAAGCTCCACACCGGCAAATTCGAAATCGTCGCTATGTCGGCAAGTTATCATGGCCTCACATCAGGTTCCGGCTCCGCAACTTATTCCGCCGGCCGAAAGAACGGTGGCCCTGTAATGCCGGGCCAACTCGCATTCCCCGCACCTTACGCCTACCGTTCCATCTTCCGCACTGCCGACGGCGCCTACGACTGGGAAAAGGAGATGGACTTTGGTTGGTCTATGATTGATAGGCAGAGCGTTGGCTCTCTGGCTGCGTTTATTATGGAGCCTATTCTTTCCACCGGAGGCATCCTCGACCTGCCCAAGGGCTACCTCAAGCGCCTAGGTGAGGAGTGCAAGAAGCGTGGCATGTTGCTTATTCTCGACGAGGCGCAGACAGGTGTAGGCCGTACTGGCCAAATGTTCGCGTTCGAGCACGACAATACCGTCCCAGACATTCTTTGCTTGTCCAAGACTCTGGGATGCGGCCTACCTCTGGCATCTGTCAGTACAACCGCCGCGGTCGCGCAAGGGTGCAAAGACGCCGGCTTCCTCTGGCTGACGACGCATCTCAACGATCCTCTTACAGCCGCAGTTGGCAACAAGGTCCTCGAGATTGTGGAGCGAGACAACATTTGCCAGCGCGCTACTGATCGCGGAGAGCAGCTTCGGGCCGGTCTCCTGAAGCTTCAGGAGAAGTACTGGTGCATCGGCGATGTCCGCGGACGCGGCCTGCTTCAGGGTATCGAGATTATTTCTGATGCTAAGACAAAGGCACCTGGATCAGATCTTGGTCAGGCCGTATCCGATAGGGCGATGTTCTTGGGACTGTCCTGTAACGTTGTTAACCTGCCGGGTATGGGCGGTGTTTTCCGGCTGGCGCCTCCTGTGACTGTGAACGCGGATGAGATTGAGGAAGGTTTGAGGATATTGGATGAGGCTTTCGGCTATGTTTTGGACCAACGAGATAAGACGATCCCCGTAGTATGAGAAGTTACAAGTCGTTGAAAGGAACGGATTCTCTTATGTTGCATTGGCATCCGGCATTTCGTCTCGGGTCTTGACATCATGAAATGACCGCGATCCATCAGGCCTGGAAGAAAAACTGTACATTCGCCTTGATAAAACCTAATCCTGAGTCCTTCAAGTGAGTTGAACTTAGGACTCATCAGCCTTTGTGTATCTCGGCTAATTCAAGACCCAACCGGCTGGCTTACTGTAGGCGGCCTGGGTTGTCCCGGGTGCATGAGGTCTCCGGCTGCCGTGCCGGGACACATCTGACCTGGACCCGCAGGGCCTGGAGCCCTAACTCACGATTCATCAGTGCTACGACCTCCTCCACCGTCAACAACATCCGGCGGCGGACATAGCTCAGTTGGGAGAGCGTCAGACTGAAGTCAACTTCACTCACTTAATCTGAAGGTCGTGTGTTCAATCCACACTGGCCGCAAGGAATAACTTTTGCTCGGTGCTATGTTGTTCGGTCCGCTATGCATTGCTTTTTGAACTGACCAGCCTCAATGCAGTCCATAGGAGAAGGCCCATGTCAGCTGGCGGCTGAGCACGGCTCAATTTTGCCCTGAACTCAATTGACCTCAGAGAAAGCTAAAATTGTATCTGTACCTACCGCTAACGCCATCATTTGCCAGGCTTCCAATTCATGTCCCGTTCAAGTAATAACTCGGCGATGGAGAAATTATCTTTGCTCAAATGCCTGCAGAGTCGATGCTCTCAGCTTTCAGTAAAATTAGTAGTTGGAGTGACTAGAGCCAGTACCCATTCACGTGCCATTGTCATTGGGCACGCTGAAGTAGCGTCCCACTGAGTGAAAGTTGTTGCTTGGCCCGTGAACCGGCGAGATTCTGTGTTGCAGCTCCCATTATTAGAGACAAATCTCGAAATGAGCTTGCGGGACTGCTCTTTTTTCGGTCCGGTATTTGAGTCGCGATCGTGCCAGATCCACATTATGCTCACGTGTGATTGAAGTTCAAGGGCTTTCATAGTGCCTGCATAGATGATTTCGATTGACCCTTTGCTGCCAGAATTGATCCTAAGGTAGGAAAGCCCTGCCGAATTCCTAAGGCGGACAACTTCGTAGCCCTTACCTCAACTGACTCGAACCCGAACCTCAGATGGTAGTTTGATGAGTTCTCATCTGATCGTAAGACGATTTTGAGCGGATAGAAATTTAAAAGCGGAATGCGATACCTTGGGGACTGCTATTACACCAATAGATCACGTTACTCCATCATCTTGATTGCACCATTGGTACCAGATCCTTTCCCCTTCTTGATAGCTCCACTTGGAGCTCTCACACTACCGAGACTTCAACAGAGATCACTGGTGTTATTATGGTTTGAAGTGGACTCGTGATTTTTGTGTGGATTTGAGTCCGCAGCCTAAGGCGTTAGTCACCAAAGTTTCAATGGCTTAGCAGCTAGCTCGCGGTATTACAACCACGTTCGTAGACATCTGATGTCAAGCTTCCAACAGAAGTTGCGTGCTCGCGTAGTTTTCTTGGATGTTCGTACACGAAGTCAAATGCGGAAAAGTTCGCAGATCAGTAATCTCAATGATTAGGTGGTGGGGACAGAGCGAGGATGAACGGAAGCACGAAGATACGAACCCTTCGGACTCATATCCTAAGTTAAGATACCCAGCGTGAGGTTTGGCACTTTGATGCGCTCGCAACAAGATCCCAGTCATGAGGGAGTAGTCGGCAGTCCTTTGTAGTACAACCATTCTTACTTTACTACATGAACTCCAAAGTAGGTTGCTACGACTAGCGATACACGTTAAGCCGACGATATTGGCTTCTGTAACTGTGTACCAAGTTTGATCATTCGGTGGCGCATATCTGCTAGCCCCTCTTGCCTTGCTCCAAGGCATCTATGCTTTTTATGAGCAATGCATGCGTGGACTGACCGCTTACTAAGTCTCAATATTGCAGAGGAGCTAGGAGACCTCTGGTACTTCACGTGTGCAGCATTTCGGCGGTTCTCATAACAGGCCCGGAAGACGAATCCGCTAACTTACATGTAGCAAACCTAAATCTACTGGTTGCTGGTACTTTGAAGGTTAGTGCTTCTAGGTCTTTGGCTACCATGGAACCTTGTACGCTTGTAGGTGATGTCTCAACCGTCGTTTCTTTACCGCTGGATCGATCCACTTCGAAGTATGCTCTCATGACAAGCTTTCTGTCACCCTTGAGCTAGCTTCTATCGAATGCTTATTTGATTGTTCTCATCGTGAAGCTTTTCGACATGGGATGCGGTCGTGGTGTCAACTGAACTTTGAGGGGGAACGAACCAGATGGAGACATTGCGCCTCTGCCAACGGAGAGTTCGGATGAGCTGAGCGGTTCTTGATGGGGCTCTTCAGCTGATTTCACGGAATATTCAGCGTCCAAGTCACTAACGGGATGCCCGGAATAGTGTCAACTCAATGAGATGAAGACAGCTTCACGACTGAAGGTAATGGATGTCTCCGGCCTCAGTGCAAAGCTCGACAACAACTGAACTCGCTTCGCTTTAGAACTATAAAAAGATGGCGAACTTCCCATGAGCGACTTTAGCTATCAAGTTCATCACACATCCATTCCAGCTCCCTCTTTCAACACCAAAAAAACCATCGACAATCCTTTAGTCTTAATAATGGCACCCATTATGAAGTTTCTCTACGCTGGTCTGCTCGCAGCTAGCACCCTTACCTCCGCTGCATTCGCCAGCCCTATTGACAACACTGGTGTCGCCATCGAGGCCAGAGGTGAGATACTCTTTCAAGTCGTCCTTCGCAAATAGTGTCTTTCAATCCCAGGAGAGATATGTCAAGGAGTCAAAGCTAATCTCGAGGCCCTTTTCCAGATGTCAACTTCCTGGCCGAGGGTGTCGAAGCTCCAGTCAGCGTTGAGGTCGCCAACAGCGTCGCCGTCCGTAGCGTCGATGAGATTGACGCATCGCTCGAGAAGCGCGTCTTCACCTCTCCCCACGTTCGCAAGGCCTTCAAAGTTGTTGCCGGCAACATGATCTCTGCCGCCTCCTGGGCCTTCAACTTCTGGGTTGAGGAAGACTACACGGGCAAGTCCACGGTCTGGTACAGCGGAGTCACCGGCGGAGGTGTTTCGACCCCCAAGATTGGCGTTGAGGGCGCTACTTTCATCTCCAAGACTGGCACCGAGCTCGACCTGAAGGTTCCGTTCATCGTGAAGGGCTTTTACGCTGGAAAGGAGCTCATCGTCCACTTTGTCGTGCGCATTCTCAGCGATGCTGGAGAGACGTCTGTCCAGTACTTCTATGACCGTCCCACGGCTACCATCGCCGGTCAGAACGCCCCAGTCACCAGCTGGGACTTTGTCAACACCAAGTAAAGGCTGTCTTGTGCAGTTACAGAGACCTGTCATGGGGGATGGACCTGCGACAGGAACAAGTCGGAGCAAGCATGAACGCATGTAGATAGCATATACCTCGTATTCAGTAAGTCAAACCCCCCACTTCCCGGCACCCCCCTGTTTCTGGCACCCACAAAAACGCGAAAATCCACCACAACGCAATGCCCACCCCCAACCTCCTTTTATCACAACATTTTCAATTCGAGTCCAAATGGGCTCATTTTTTGCACATACCTTCTTCTATATCTAATGCCTCAATATACCGAAGATCAGCTTCGTCAGGCTCTCGAGGACATCTCAAACGGCAAGAGTCAAAGAGGCCTCATTGGGTATGGGATACCACGATCAACCTCCAACTACGTCTCCAAGGTGGTCAGACTAGGAAAGTGGCTTTGCTGACTGGCAGAGGCTGTCTCTGACCAGGAGAGCTGGCACAATGGGTTCGCATTCAGGCTTCGCTGGGCCTCGCACCAACGCACCAACAGGTGAAGGAATTCGCAGAGCGAGTTCTGGCTGCTGCTGGGGATGCCAAACCATTAGGAAAAGGCTGGATCTATGCCTTCGTGAGAAGGAACCCTATCATTAAGGTTCAGAGAAGTCGTTCCATCGATTCTAGACGCGTTAATGGGGCATCTACTGAGGTCATTAGGAACTGGTTTAAGTTCCTTGCTATCCCTGAGATCAAGGACATCAAACCAGCCAACAGATATAATATGGATGAGACTGGCATCCTCGAGGGTCAGGGAGCTAATGGGTTAGTGCTGGGCATGGCTGAGACGACGTCTGTTCGCAAAAACAACCTGGGTCGAGGGCATGGGTCTCTATCATTGAGTGTATCTCAGCCTTGGGTAGGGCACTTCGTCCTCTTATCATTTTCAAGGGAAGACGGTCCAACAACAGTGGTTTCCATTACATCTGGTTCCATACGATGGGTGGGAGTTTACAGCAACAGATAATGGCTGGACTACAGACTTAACTGCCATTGAATGGTTAGAGAAGGTGTTTATCCCACAGACTATGCCCGAGGCTGAGGGCGAGGCTCGACTGTTGATTGTGGATGGGCATGGGAGTCATACGACGACAGACTTCATGTGAATTGCTATATTAACAATATCCATTTACTGTTCTTACCACCACACTCCTCTCATGTCCTCCAGCCACTTGACCAGTCTGTCTTCAGCCCTGTTAAGTCAGCCTATCGGAAGGAGCTCGGTTACTTGTCTCAATGGAACGACTCTACCATTATAGGTAAAAGGAACTTCCTGGACTGTTACCAGAAGGCTCGACTTGCTGGTCTATCAGTCTCGAACATCAGAAGTGGTTGGAAGTGGACTGGTCTACACCCTGTAGCGATGGTTAAGCCCTGATGAACCCTATGGTATTACCTGAGCCTTCTGCTAAGCCCACCACACCCAAACCAACCAGTCGGGGCAAAAAGCGATGCCATAATGGTCAACAAACTACCCTGTTGAGCCATGATTCTGCTTCCTCTGCAGTGGTCTGGTCGACACCCAGGAAGCTGGCAGAGCTCAGCGGTCAACTGCGCTTATACCCAACTCGACAATGATACCAGCACTCAACGGCTGCTGTTCAGGAAGGTGAA